TAGAAAATTCAGATATTAACCAGAAGAAATTTGATTCAGTGGCCAGTACAGAAACCTCTGTGACGACTTGCATTACTTATGTGTTAAAAAACACTGGTTATAACTTGCATATAGTTGTGAAATCCTGTATTAACAGGAATTTTGATGAGGAACAGAGCCAGCTAATAAAGCCTAGTTTTCTATACATACACATATCCTAAGCTTCTACACACAACACAGTCTTTCTGGGCTTCATCCTTCATCCCTCCTCTGTATTTTCTCAGCTTTCTTCCCACTGCTTTTTTTAAGTCTCTTCTCAATGCAGTCAGTCTCCTTCCTATAAAGAGCAGCTGGACAAGGAACACCACGTGTCATGGAGTCACGGCTGGCTCCAAGGTTTCTCTGTGCTCACGCTGCAGCCTCTCCTTTGTTCATCTGGATCCCTCTGGTCAGCAGTTCATTTTCAGAAATGCACAGAAGTTAAAAATCTCTGGGAAATTCTTTGTTAAAATTTGGTTGCAAGTGGCCAGTGGCCAGAAATTGTTAGAAAGGACTGACAATGCAATCCCATCAGCCTTGTTTCAGAATGAAACCAAGGGCTAGAAACATAACTGATTTTCTTTCATACCACCAGTCTTTCTGGTAATTTAGAGATGGGATCTTGAATGTCTATGAATCTCTGGGATAATAAAACAAGTCTCAGGGTAGGCTCTTTAACACTCAGCTACACTGGGATAGAGAACTAAGGGAGTTTTCCCTTTCTAACACATGACTTTGCCCTATATTAATATGTAAGACTTACATTGCTGGAAGTCCAGCCCACAAAATAAGTAATACATCATAACTAGGGTACCTATAGTTTTCTTAGAAAACCTTACTACATGAGATGCTGAATCCAAAAGAAGGTTTCTCTGTTTTGAATGATCACTTGCAGCAGTTACCTGCCTAGCAGCCAGCAGTTATGATGAGATTACATTAAGTACATAGAAACAGAATATATTGCAAGGAAGCAGTAACATTTGTACTTTGTTTCTGGCAGAGGCTTATTTTAAGAGTTAGAGAAAATTGTAAATGAAACGGGCTGTAAGGGAATGAAAATGTCACAATGAAAAAAAAAAAAATCAAATCTCTGAAATGGAGAACAAGTTTCCCAAATTAAGAGAGATGACCAGTTTGGTGAAAATCCTCAACCTGGTTAAATGTTTATGTCCATATGGCAGTCATAAAAAGTGAGGGATGACAATGGAAAATAGGAGAAAGAGCAATCTATACAAATTAGATGCTTTTGCCACTGTAAGAAAATCACAGAGAGGTAAACAGTTGATGGATTATCCTGAAACAGAAGAGAGAGACTGAACTGCAAAAGATCTCCTCTGTTTTGCACTACCT